GATATGCTTTTCGTTCGTGAATTCAGGCCCATTTCTAGACACTCTTTTTCGTCTCACCTGTTTCACCTAGCACAGAGGAAAGACTACATGATGGTGGAGACTCGGCCTGTGGGCCTTTTGTTGTGCGTTTTGGGTTGTGTTTGTGGTCCTTGTTCTTTTCTCCACCATCAGACTGTTCTTCCCTCCCTTCAACGATGACCTGGGCACCATGCCCACACGGCGTCCGTACTCGTGGAAAAAAAGTCCTAGCATGGTATCTGTACCTCTTTGTACAAAATTGGAAATGTCGGACATCAACAGCGGGAACTCAGGTTCCCCCTGGGCATCCTCCATTGCCACTCTCTACCACCCGCCTGTTGGGAACGAGGAGCTAAGGCTCTCGTTCCTATTGGCTCACAACATTGCGAACGGCGAAAAGAGGTCGGTAATCCTACTTGGTGTTTGTGCATCTCACTTGTCGTGCTTTGCTGGCATGTGCTTGTCATTACAGGTCTGGAGAGTCTTCTCCCCTTGCTTGCCCCTTGCTCGAAAGTGCGGGCTGCCTGCAAGAGCGCATAGCGCCTTGCTAAGCAGGGATGGAAACCTCCTATGGAAGGGTACTCTGAAGGAAGGCTTGTTTTGCGATGATCCTCAGCTCCACTGTGGGATTAGGCCTGGCATGGCTTCTGGCCTACCCTGGACTCGCGCTAAGGCGTGCGCCCAGATTCTGATTAAGTGATCGTGAGGCCACCATAGCTGTGGCCAGAAAGACTTGTCCTCATCCAAGACCAGGGGTATATCCCATGTCCGGGATCATATGCAGCCAGGGTGGCCATCGCATAGCAGGACAAATGGCGAAAGCATTTTCTTCAGCGTATACTCCTCGCCATTTGTGCCTTCCTGGCATTTTGGCACTTAAAAGCAGTGCAATCCAAGAAAGCTCTACTTCCAATGTATCTGAGTGAGGGCGGGATGGCAAGCTCAACTAGGGCTGCACAGTTCATGAAGGCCTTGACTCGGATTGTATGAAGAGTAGTCGGAAGGAGAACTTCTCTGAGGCTAGTGCAGTGCACAAAGGTGAACTCCGGAATTTCCTCTACCTTGGTGTTGCTTAAGCAATCGGCAACTGTCGCACGCGTGCGCTCCAATAGCTACAAAGTGCTTTGTGAGAGCGAGTGCGGTGATTCCCGTAGCGCTAAGACATCCCGGTGCCAGCTCACTGGTCCGAGCTTGCAGTGTTGACCCTCGGGGGGATGGAAGCTCACTCAAGGTAAGCTCAGCAAGGTCAATATACCCTTGGAAGAGGTATTGCCCGAACTTGGCTTCGCTGGTGAACATGTTTGCAACCCCTTCCGATGCATACACCCATTGCAAGGAACAGCATTCCGCAAAGGCTTTGTATCCAAACTCTCGACAACCCGGAGCCAAGACACTGTTTAGTAGTTTGCAGTCACGAAAGGCGTTATCGGCAACACCTACAACAGTGGCGGGCAGTTTGACAATGCGGAGCTGTCGACAATTTTGCCAAGCCTCTGCTCCAATGAGCCTGATGCCTGACTCTACACTGACGTGTCGCAGACGTGGAACCCCTGCAAAGGCCCCTTCTGGGACGATTTCTTCTGGGTTCAGAGGGACATGAACGGCTAGCGGAACATGATGGATAGGGCAGCCCTCAAGCTGTTCTTGTGATGGCAGAATAACACTACAGTTCTTGAAGACAATGGTGTATGCCATGCCTTGCTGTAGCTTGTCCCAGATTGGGTCCTCAAGGTATGTCTGCGTGGCAGTTTGTAGAAAGTCAATGGAGCACCCAAACACTTTGAGATCAGTAACAGAGGCCAGATAGTCCATAACCTGGTCCTCTAGATCCTCAAATCGGTCAAACTTGGCAACACTGAGAGAGACCTTAAAGGTCACCCCCGAGAGCGTGGTCAGCATCAGGGAGCATTCCATGACCGGCTCCATTTCAGGGGGAGTGCTAATCCTGGATGAGTCGTCGAGCTCCATGTGCGGCAAACTTTTTGCAATTATTGTTTGAGCCAAAAGTGTCTGAGGCTGCTCATGGGCTGTTCCGAATGCCAGAGGTATTTCCTGAAGACGGATGCTAAGGCGCCCACCTTGAGCCTATTATGGACTGGCATGATGTTAGGAGTACTCGTGGTATAGCTCCTCGTCAAAAGCGTCCGAATCGGGTCCTTCTGCAGGGAGCAGCTCCACCCACTGGGGTTTTTCAAATTTGTCACACATAAAGAAGGCATTGTGCTCTGCCTGCACCCACTGTTCAATGTCACCCCAGTCCAGGGGGGTAAATCGTTGCAGTTGCTCACACCCGCAGAATGCACGGTTGCCTATGTCACTGAGCTCCGTCGGGATGACAACTTCTTGCAGCGCAACACAATTAAGGAAGACTTCTTTGCCAATTTGCGTGAGTCGTGGCGGAAGCCATATGCAATTTAAGGCTACACAGTGGGCAAATGTGGCAGAGAGCAGGGCTGTGATTTCTGTGCTCATGAGGTTGACCTCCACAAGTCTTTTGCAATTCTCACAGGCCCGCGGCCCGATATTGTGGAAGTCACTCGGCAAACAGAGCTGTTCAATGCCTGCGCCACAAAATGCACCCTCAGGCAGCGCTCGAGGTTTGTTAGTCTGGTCCATGTCAAAGGTGATGGTTGTAAGCGTGAGGCAACTCTCGAATGCATACTTGTCTAGCTGTGCCCCTGGTGCCAGGACGTTACTATCATCAGTTTCGTGACTGACCCCAACTCGACCTAGGGAGCAGCACTCCGCAAACACCCTTCGGCTGTATTGGACACACCCCGGGGCAGCCACCTCTCGCAGCACATAGCACCCCTGGAAAGTCCCTTCCGCATTGCCTAAGGAACACAGTGGTTGCATCGCCGAACAGGCCAAGGAAAATTCCCTTTTCGCAGCACAACCCAGACAACAGATTGCCCGCACGAAGTGAGGGCCATGATACCAACAGGCGGTGGAGACAATACAACCATGAGTCTGCCTAAACTCGACGAAAACCTCCCAAGAAGGGAGGTCCACGCAGTACCCCAGGGCTCGTGCGGTCAAGCAGCAAGGGGTGCAAAGGTCATGGCGTCGTGCCTGTCAGAAGGCACTGGGCCTCCAAGATGACCAAGGTGATCCCAGGGCGCTGTCCATTACCGTGCTTCTGCCCGCCTTTCTGGGACGAGGAGCTAAGGCTCTCATTCCAGAAGGCTCAGAGAGTCGTAGTAGGTGGTGGCGACGTAGAAATGGCATGTGGGCTCTGGCTCAGCAGGCATGTATTTGCGGGGTTGGTGCAAGGAAGTCCTCTCCCCATTGGTCTTCTGCAGTTGGCGGCAAAAAACGCAGCCAAATGGGTTGAGGTAGTTGCCCACACTCGTCAAAGACATTGCGGTGGGCATACGTTCCCCGCCAGGTCTTCCCTTGTCTGCGGAATGCACGAAGCTTCATGCAGCCTGCAATGGCACGAGCAATGTAAAGGATGGTGGGATACTGACTTCCTGCAACGAAACGCACAAGAGGAAGGCCTCTTGTTCAATGATGCGTGGGCTGTGAGGGAGACTGAGTTGCTGTAGCTGCGAACAGTGTGCGAAGGTCGAACCTAAAAGTTCGACAACGTCCGTTGAAAACAAGTCAACAGACTGCAACTTCTGGCAGCGCTCACAGGCAGCCGGGCCAACCCAATTAAAGTCTGCCGGCAGGGAGAGCGTGGCAATTCCTGCTTCTAGGAAACAGCACTCAGGCAAGCTCCTGTGTGGTTGCGCAAACTCGCACTCTGTCTTGCCTCAGTTCAAAAGCCCAGGACCGCAATTGCGCTTGGGGGGCCAGGAGTTCATCAGAATGTAACGTGGTCCCAATTTGGGTGAGCGAGCGACATTGTTCGAAGACCTTGGTGCCAAAATGTCGGCATCCAGGGGCCGTCACTTCACGCAGCACATAGCACCTGCAGAATGCCCCACGCCGCAGGCTGACCACTGTGTCCGGCAGGTGGACAATTTGCAGTCGGTGGCAGCTCCTCCAAGCAGCCTCCCCTACAATCCGAAAACCCTCTTCGACAAGGGCGTGGCGGACTTCTGAGTGATGGGAGAAGGCTTGAAGGGGGACTTTGTTGTTCTTGACAAAGGGCACTCGTATGGCTTTCTCTTCACCTATAAGGGACCTTGTGCATCGCTTCAACAAAACATGGCCGGGCAATGACGTACAAGCTCTCCTTAGCACTCAGCTGCTGTTGAACAGGATCTGTTAAGACAGCATGGGTCCTAATTGCACGAATTGCAGTTCGCACCCGAAGGTGCTGCTTTGCCCTAGCATTGGAAGCTGTTCTAAAATGGCATTTTCGAATTTCTCATCATCTGTGCAGGCTCAACTAGAAACAACATCATCATCACTGAATGACCTTCACTGAATCGTCTTGATCAGAGTGATGCTGCAACTACCACCGCTACCAGTGCTGCTGAAGCAAAGGATTCAAAGGCTAGCCATCAGTCAGCGAGCCAGCTTGCAATTTGTATGGAAGTGGAAAAAGGTTTTTGGTGAAGCAAAGGATGCTACTAGCCTGGGCAGCCATCAGTCAGCCGGTCAGCCTGCAGTTTCTATGGAAGTGGAAAAAGTGGAAACTGACAATGGCGCTGCGCTGGCCATTGTCACAGCAGCCGCTATGGAACACGACCAGGAAAATGCCAAGACCGATGCTCCTGCTGATTCCGCTGCCGCTGATACCGAAGCTACTGCTTCTGTGGAGCCTGAGTTGATGGAGCAAGCGGAAGTCAGATCCACTCACAGTCCAGCAGAAGCAAGCCAAACAGGCAGGACAGGGAGAGATCCTGCGCTGGATTGGTTGAATCAAATGCTAGGACGTGCCCAGTTTCGGATTGCAGCTGATGCTGAATCGTTTCTTTGTGAGAAGCATGGGTTTTTCAATCCTGTCTTGGATGCGCAAACGGCAGGGGATGTCTACCCCTTGGAAGCTGAGCTCGCAATGATTGAGACAAGCCTTGCTCTGCAACTGGATGGTGAAGCTGCTGAGACGCCTAGTCATAGTCCTAGCCCTAGCGCTTCTGGCCCTGGTGCTGCTGAATCTGGCGATGCAAATGATTCTCATCCTGGTGCTTCTGGCCCTGGTGCTGCTGAATCTGGCGATGCAAATGATTCTCATCCTGGTGCTTCTGGCCCTGGTGCTGCTGAATCTGGCGACGCACCAAATGATTCTCATCCTGGTGCTTCCTGCCCTGGTCCTGCAGAATCTGGCGGTGGCCCAAGTGATTCTTTTCCTAGTGCTTCCTGCCCTGTCGAAGGGCTTAACACTTTTGACGCGCAAGGTGTGGAGAGCTTCCTTGGTGTCTTGGAATTCAATTCAACCAGTCAGACGGTTGAACTGATTTAAAATCATTCAGAGGACACTAAAGTCCACAAGCTAGGCTAGGTGTTACAATATGGGCAGACTAGACAGACTTTGCAATTGAGTCTCAATTGAAGCGTTGAGGCTCAATGCCGAGAAAGGATGAGTCAGAGCTGGGCAACCTTGGGGATTTGCCTATGCCACCAAAGCTTGATGAGTCAGGGCGCTGCGAATGTAAGAAAGCGGATGACTATTTGGCGGAGTTGCTGCTGTACTACCCAGACATCGGTGACATGACCTTCTTTGCTTCCAAAGTGCCTTGCCGATTCATGTGAGACAACTCAAGTCATACACAGTTACACACTGTTAGATAACATGAAATGCAAGAGTGTGAGTGAATGGATACATATATTGCTTCAAGGTGCTGGCTGCCCTCTTGCTGAAGCATCATTGTGAGTCACCAGATTCCAAGATCTATGAGAACTTATCAACTCAAGCTGGCTCTGAAATTGGTGTTTGCTCAATCTGTACTGGAACAGGGGCGTCCATTGGTCTTTAGAAACTGTTGTTGGTTTGATTTGTTGCGCGGTTGTTGTTTTTTCTTGACATCGACATCGTTGTCAACCATGATAATGTTCCAGCGCGCAGAATGCTGCAGGTTTGAGACCTGTGCCTCAGCTACGTTCGAGGCTATCATGTATGTATTCGGACTTGACAATACTGGAGAATGTACGGCGCCTCTGGTTTTGAGTTAAGATGAATCATGAGTCATGAGTGTTGTCTTGTCTTGTCTTGTCTTGTCTTCAAAGCTACCATGGGTGTTGTTCAATGATTTTGCCGTGTGTTCAATGTCATGACTGTGCCGTAAGGTCAAACCATCTTTTGGAGCAGAGTGCGTGCCTTTCAAGGCGTCGTATGGTCGGCAGGACATGCCAGATGACTATTGCATGTTCAAAGAAACTTGGAGAGTGCAATGTCAATTCATTAGTTAGTATAATTTAATCATAAACTAACAGACTTACTGACTATCACTCTGACTATGACCATTACTAGTAGTCTTCCTTGAAATAGACAAATATATCAACGTATCATCATCATTGTATCATCATATGATATCAAATCAAAGAACATCACGGAAGGTAGTCTTCTTTCGTTGTTTCCTTTCTTTTGTCCTTCTTTCTAGTGGGCCTTTTCTTTCTGGATGTTCTGCCTTTTTTCTTTCTGAGGATGCTCGTCTCCTCAGAAGTGACGCGCGCAGAGTCTGCACAGTTCATGGCGGTCCTTGCAGATTGCCTTCCGTCATCGATGGGTTTGGAGCAGGGTTCAGCTGCACATCTTACAGCAGTTTAAATAAGGACGCTGCCAAAAATGCTTCAGCTATGGAGAAGGCATCAAGGAATGAAGCTGAGGACCCCCGGCACAAGTTTACAGACCATAATGACTCATGACAATGACTCATGACTATGACTCGACCTCTAAGTCCAAGACGAAAACCCAACCAAAACGATGATTTTGACTAAGACTAGACTGACTATGGCTTTGTCAACGCTTTAAGGGCTTTTCATATTTTATATAATGTTGCATGTTTATTTATATAATACTGTAAATATAAATACACTTGTGGGGGCACGGTGTCTCTTTACCACTAAGGGCAGAGTGGCCAGTGTGACAACTTTCATGGCTTGTTGCGATGTGTTGGAGATTTCAAATCCAACATGGGCCATCTTCGAGAATGTGCAAGCAATAGACCGCGAGAGTGCAAATGATGAGTGCCTTTGTCTGTGTGTACTTGTACGCTGTGCTGTGCCTCTGACAACTTGACAGCCTTTAGTTTGGTTGTCTCAGGCAGACCAACTTGGACCTTTGTCTCCAAGAGATAGATGCCAAAGGCTACGCCTGTCAGACCTATCTTCTGGACGACGCATGGTATGGGCTGCCGCAGTCCCGTCGCAGAGTATACTTGGTATGTTTAAACCGGAATGCAGCAGGTGTTGCTACCTCTGCAAGTACTTTCTTCCAGAGCGTCAAGTCTCTTCTTCAGAAGATGTACATAAAGCCCCCTCACCCGGAGTCACAGCTGTATTTCTGAAGGCACTTGCATTCCAGTTGGCCTTTTGTTTCACAGCTTATTGGTCTATTTCGTGCTTTTGTTTCACAGCCCAGGACCGCTTCCTTCTGGCAGATGATGATCCTGCTGTTACATCATACCTGCAGACCCTGCAAGAGGAGCGGGAGAAGCAGCGAGCCAAAGAAGCAGAGCGCCCATCGGAGAAAAACCCATCTTGGATCAGCTTGCACATGTCACTGGCAGAGTAACGCGTCTAGTCCAACACTAGACTTGAAGAATTGAATTTGATCTCAATTCAATCTCATCTCATCTCTCTAGTATTGTGTCCACTTTGCAAGACGTGCGACGGTATACTTGCACACAAGCCAAGGTGGCATTTCGTGGCCACTGAAAATCAATACGCAGCTCTCATCCTCTCCATGGTTTGCAGTCATGACAGACCGAGCAAAGGAGGCAGACCATAGACTATAGGCATAGGCTATAGGCCAAATTAAACGATAATATATTTATACAGTATACATATCATATATATTATGTTTATGTTATTGTATATTAAAACTATATAATTATATAATCTCTAGGCCAAAGGCTACAGGCTATAGGCTTAGGTCTATCTATAGGCTATTGTCAGTAGTCAAATTTCAGAGCCTGTGTACGCAAGCAACTTACCTTCCTGCATGCTGGGTGCCGTGCAGGTCATTGGATTTGCATCCCATGAACGAGACAGGCTCCACAAGAATATTGAGTTTGCCGACGTGTATCACAGCGCGCATCGTATTACCACAGGTTCTGATATGGTTCCCATTGTTCTGCCAAGGACTGATGCACCTGCAAGGGCATGTCCCGGCCAAGGGTTTCAGTGAATCGCAGCTCACTGATTTGGCAGGAAACTCGTTCCTTGATTCGTATTGAGTGTGGACCTGGCCTTGCCGCATTGAAACAAATCTAGACAAATCTAGACAACACAACCTTTGAGACAATCACAATACGAAGGGCGGACGGGAAACGGAACGTCACCAAACAAACTGTTGACTGAACACACATTTTCTGTTAGGGGTTGGTATGCAACTTAGGGGTACATATTGAATATGAATAAATCATAATTTATCAGTACAGTATAACAACCTTGACTCTATGACTATGAGTCGACTATGTATGGACCGGGCATTCATGAAGTCGTGTTTCCGATTTTCTTTTAGCGTTGCTGCAAAGGTTCTCTGGAAATGTGGTGTCGGCTATTCTGTGCGTGGTCTTTTGCTCCCTACGTCTCCAGTCGGAAAGCGAGGCGGATGAAGCAGATGATATTGAGGCTTTGGTATCGGCCATGACCAGAGTGATTTCTCATTGAGAATGGAAACTGAACGCGCCAGCCGGCATTTGTTCAACTGAGCTCGACAAGAGACTCGAGGAATAGACAGAGTGCCTGTGGTCCGTGTGAAAAACACGCCGATGTGACCCTGGCCCCTTCCCCTGTAGCTTACCTGTACTGACAGACAAACAGACCGTCGCCCGCAGAGGAAACAATTGCACCACTTGCTGGACTGGTGTGGGTTGGATTTGAGTTGTTTTCACTGATTTTCACTGTTTGTGTGTTTTCTCTGCGTTTCCTGTGCCCCTTCCGATTTGCTTTGCAGGCTCGTGTGTTTGCTTGTCCGCTTGCTCGTTCGTTTGATCGTCTGCTTGCTCGTTCACTTGTTCGCCCCTCGTTCGTTTGATCGTCCGTTTGATCGTCCGTTTGCTCGTTCGCTCGTTCGTCCACTCGTTTTTACTAGCCCACTTTTGCTCGTACAGGTTGTTGCACGTACACGTCCATTTTTAACAATCTACATTTTACGTATTCTTCAATTTTGCTAACATTTGTGTTTGAAGTCATTTGAAGGGGTTTTGGAATGAATCGTCGATGGATGATTGATGGAACGCATGTTTTTGATCCACGCATCGTCACGGGATGATGCTATGTTTGATGGAATGTACGATTTGCACCTCACATCATCGAAGGATGATGTTCGGATTGGATATTTTTGCTCAATCGTCGATTTGGAATGCAGTGCCACACACATCATCGATGGATGATGCCGGAGTTAAGTACAGGGTGGGTTGGTCTACTTGGTTAGTTGATCACCTTTTGGGTTTTGGTTGGATCCCTTTTGTTAGGGTTCCTCCCCAGATGATGACACATGTGATCCAAACAAGTGCCTTCAAAGGTACGTCGAAGGGTCCTACGGGTCTTTTGGTGCTGAGAAGGATCACGTCTGATGGGGGGTGATGGGGGGGGAACACAAACCTTTTGGTTTGTGGGCCCCTGTTTCTTTTGGATCAACTTTCCATAGCAAGACTAACTCACTAAAGAGTTTTGACTGGAATTGTGTGTTTTGAACGAGGGTTCGAAGCCACCGTTTGAATCGGTCGAAGCGCCTGTCAGGAAGGGCTCAAACTCAGGAATCAGTGTTTAAAGACAGGTTGCACACTTGTAAAGATAGATACACTTTGGCACTTACCTTTGTGTTTGTGGAACGAGCGAAAAGTTGGGATTGCGTGCGTGCACTCGGACTCGATCGACGTGGTTGCGTGTGTGTTCGCTGTCGTGTGTAACTTTCGCACTACTTTTTCTCTTTTCCCAAGGCCGTACGAGTGCATTTTATTGAGAAAGGTAGGGTCACCTGTGAGCCATTTAGCGGTCCTTTCCCATTCAGCATCGCTACACGTATACTGACTGCTCTTTTGGTAGGGTCTATCATCCTGCTGGATTTCAGGGTATCCATTATACTAATACTGTCGCAGCTGTTGTCTGTCCATGAATGTGAGCTCCTGTTTGGATGGCAGCCTCCAAGCCAGTGGTTAGCCAGTTGGAGATGAGTTTGCTCTCCTCTTGGACATTGCCTTTTGCAAAATTGTTGGCCGCATTTTGCAATCGGGCACACCGCAAGACAAAGCGCCCATGGCCCTTTGGGACAATGTAGGTTGGCTCCGCATCCTGTTCCTCGTCTTCTGAGGGCGGCTCCTCTGGCTGGGGCAACTCCTCATCACAGACATTAGGGACGGGCTCAGCCAATCTAGAGGGATGGCCCTCGGTAAACCGGACCTGCCAGTAGGCGACACTCACGTCTACTTCCCAGTGCAGATTGTGCAAAGCCTTGTCCAACGCTTTCATGACTTGGGGTATCAGACAGCTACCCCCCAAACAAAGATGGCCTTGGATACCGCCACAGTAGTGACCGGACTCGTGAAGACAACCCGTACATCATAGTTCAAGCATTTGACAAACAAAACGCATACGCAGACAGGCCAGCCCTGCCTCAAACGCCAAGATTGGCGAGAGCGTACGAGCAGTATCCTCGATGCCAATCATGGCCAGTCCATCTCATTCCCTCCACCTGCAAGGCAACCATCTGAGGGTGATGTAGAGGCAGCGCTCCCTCCAGAGCGCAAAAGCACCCCACCACGAAAGGCTGCCCAAGTTGTGCGTTTTGCTCTGGCATTTGTCCCTGCGTTTGCGTGCAATGTGTTTTGGGCAAGAACAGTGACTTTTGGGCTTCAGCAGAGGAATTCATGGTCCAGAGCACTTCCCCGGACCTTTACCTTGATGATGAGGCGCCAGGCACAATTTGGCAATGGGACGAAGTCCACAACTTGTTTGCTTGCTCCAAGGGTTCACTTCTGCATTCACCAGTGTCACTTCAGTGCACCCAGCGCGTCTCATGCAATCCTCTCAAGAAGACAAGTCACACGTGCTTTCTTGCGAAACCAGACTTTTTGATGTGGAACAAGTGGGTGTGGACGGGGCTGGGGAAGGAAGCATCCCACGCGAATTCCGTTTTTTAAATGCAGATTGCCATGGGCCACACCACGGGAAAACATGAATTGACCATTCTTTTCAAGATGGTGCAAAACTCAGGTGAGTGGAGAGACTTGCATCCGGACGTGCAGATGTCCTGTTTTTGCCACGCGGCCTTTGTTGCCAGGCGTGTGCCAGCGCACAGGGCCTTGCGCATCAGACCTACCCATGGGCTGTGGCGAAAAACTCAATCCCTTCATCCCACCCACTTGTTGTTTTTTTTGACGGCCTTGGCGCACTCCGTGCTGGTTCAGAACCCAACTGGACATTCACGTGCTGGATGTGCCGGTTTCAGCAGTGTTTGCCAGCAAGCACCTGCCGTGTCAAGCTGGGCGCCATAGCGGCCATAGCGTTGCCGGCTAGAGTCATAGTTGCCCCTCATTTGTTTGCACAAGCTTCCCCACTTTGACTTATGTTCATGGCGGATCAACAGTTTGCCACCATCGATCAGGCGCATCAGAACCTGCTATCCTTTCGCATTGGGGATGACAGCAATGGCCACGCCTCTGCTTTGGCTCACTGAGCTGGCCTCGCATTGGGAAAATGCGAGAATGGTGGCCTCGTTTGGCCTCGCACTTTTTGAAACAAGCGAACAGTGGCTTTTCATGTCGCCTTGCGATCATGCGCAATTGGCAACAAGAAATGGTCGCACTGCTGCCATGTTAATGATTTGTCGGCGCAATTCTCAAATAATGTTGCCTTTACCTTTCACAATGCGTCATCAAACAAAACTGTTTTCCCACAGAAGTTAAAAGGCATCGCAAACATTGTTGTTTTTTGACGAGCGTGTGTTCACCATCAGTGTGAGTGTTTCCTCTGAATTGAAGGTTTTTCGGTTGCGACTTGCCTTGTTTGATTTGCAAGAGAATTGTCGTGGTTGAGCTCAACGAACATCATTTTCCTTCAGGGTCACTGCCCGAGGTTTACCCAGATCGGTCTGTTGATGTCTTTAGGGCTGGTGTTTTTCGCCGATCTTTTCAAGTCGCTTCGCCCTTGCAGGGTCATTGCTGGCTGTGCAGGATAGCTTGGCGGTGCTCCTAACCATCCTTCCCTTTTATTGAATTGCCCCTTGCTGAGCGAACCTGTGTTCCATTGGCATGTCGCCCTCTTGTTAAAGCTGCAACGAAGAAGGGTTGATTCTGGCGAACTTTCGTTTTTTGGTTGAGGGCCCGTAATCCAGCCCAGGTTCGCAACCAGGATCATGACTTGGACAAATCGTTCGGGTTCCTGGATGGGTGTGTTTGTGGTATTGTTAGGGGCCTCCTTGGCCTTCAGAAGTTCCACAAACATATTTCAAATGAACGCTTGGCTGGTGCTGGGTTTTTTCCGTCACAATGCGAAACGAAGACCAGTGATCCGAACTGAGCAAAACATGGCGTAGCTTTCCTCGCAACATTCTTTTGGTTGCGTGTT